CGAGGGGACCTAATTCTTACCTACGCCCTGTTTGAACAAAGCTTGGCAAACAGGTTTTTTACCGTTGACCCAGCAAACACCCGGCGGGGACATAGTAAGAAAATCTTCAAGCTCAGGGCACACACATCCGTTAGACAAAACTTTTTTTCATTTCGGGTAGTAGCTGCGTGGAATGACCTTCCTCCGACGGTTGTACACGCTCCTTCTCGAACCCAATTTAAAGCACTATTAGACATTTATTTATGCGAATCCTTGCGCTGGCGAGCATACTGCCCCGCGCTGAGAACATAAAGAGCAGTGCTACACCCTTTTTTCACTTGTGCCTTTCAGGTGAACGACAGCCACTGACCGACAAGAACAAAACCGACCCGGGAAACTTGGGCAAAAGCCTCGATCCTGTGTATCAATCCGTGAATCCGTGAATCCGTGTATTAGGTCTCCTCCAAGATGACGATACTCCAGGGAAATAGGTCAGGCACCACGGGACGCGTTTCTTAATAAGCGGGCTTAAGGCAACCATTTTCGTAGCAACTAGTTGGACACGCTCAGCGGGGGTTGCGACGTTCTTACGTTCTGGGTAAACAAACTGATAGTCGGACAGCGGTCTGATGTAGGCGCCATAGTGTTTTGAAGTTCTTGCGAGTAATACGGAGGAACGCTGACCGAATCATTCGTATAGGGGCGAAGGTCTTTTGAGCCAACTTATCATGGTGTAGTGGGGAGGACATGTTTGAAGAAAGCCAGATGCCTAAGCGCATTTCACTAACTATGTTCGTAACATTTTCTGGTCCATTATCACAATGCGCAACAAAGGCGTTCGCTGAGTGTCCTCCAAATTACATCTGGAAGCATCTTTCGGCATTCATCGAAGGGTGCCGGTCTGTCAACTACTGCTTTGCAGGGATTACGCCGGTTTGGTGGGCATGCGTGGCTGTTCTTTTTCGAATTGAGCTAAGTGGACGCATGTACCGGGGCATCTCGACACCATATTCCTCACCTGGGCCGCGCCAATTCTTAAGGATATATTTTATACATTCCGACGGCAGAAATTAAGATTCATAGTGCTGAGTAGACGTGCGCTACCTAAATGCCGAACTCTCGCCTTTGGTTTGACGCTGAGCAAAGATTCGTCTGTATCACAATGACAAAGGCGTTCGCTGAGTGTCCTCCAAATTACATCTGGAAGCATCTTTCGGCATTCATCGAAGGGTGCCGGTCTGTCAACTACTGCTTTGCAGGGATTACGCCGGTTTGGTGGGCATGCGTGGCTGTTCTTTTTCGAATTGAGCTAAGTGGACGCATGTACCGGGGCATCTCGACACCATATTCCTCACCTGGGCCGCGCCAATTCTTAAGGATATATTTTATACATTCCGACGGCAGAAATTAAGATTCATAGTGCTGAGTAGACGTGCGCTACCTAAATGCCGAACTCTCGCCTTTGGTTTGACGCTGAGCAAAGATTCGTCTGTAAACCGTTCCATGGGAGTCAGTGTGACATGCGGCTCTTCCCTATCCTCTGATTCACTGCACTGAGATAACTGTAATAAGATCACTTTGCTGAACAGCTTGAAACTAGCGGAATCGTGAAACCTATTGAGCGCGTTGCTCTCTATGGAACATTTTCCTGTCTACCACCATGTCATTTGTCTAACTAAGGTTCACACGGTACCTTTTCACCGTCTTGTTATTCCGATTAGTGCTTGCTCTGTTTAGTGACGAAGTAGGGGTCGGGCTTTCCCTCATGTATTGACACTTTTACCGCATGGAAATATTGCATGAAGTTGAAGTGAGGCTTATCCAGACAAACTCCATATTTCCAAAAATCGAGAAACTCTGGATTCCTATGTACCGAACTTCTTATTGGTGACCTTATCACCATACGGCTCTACTCGGCTTTGTTTTACTGCGTCCGTCTACCTCGAGGCGCCGCACTTGTAACCCTCACGTCTCGGGAATGAGGTTTGTTCAGTTTCTTGTGGTCTTATGTCTGCCCTACCCTCATACAATGACTGGCTCTAACTAAATGTACTCAATGTTTCAGTAATTTGCGACCTCAGAAGAGGTTGGCAGCGGCCGTTCTAGGATGTGGAAAGAAAAAAATATGGCTGGATCCAAACGAAAACTCGACGATCGCCAACGCTAATTCCCGGAAAATGATCAGAAAGCTCTTCAAGGATAACCTGATTATCCGGAAGCCTGTAACCGTGCATTCGCGTGCTCGTTGCCGAGCCAACCTGCTTGCTCGCAGGAAGGGGAGGCATTCCGGTCCCGGTAAGAGAAAGGGTACTGCAAATGCCCGTATGCCTCAGAAAGTTCTGTGGATGAGACGCATGCGTGTGCTCCGACGACTTCTAAAACGGTATCGCGAGGCTCACAAAATCGATAAGCACTTGTAAGTCCTGCTATTCTGTACAGATTTTCGCCTGCAGGTACCATCTACTCTATCAACAGTGCAAAGGTAATCAGTTCAGGAACAAGCGTGTCCTCATCGAACACATCCACAAGAAGAAAGCTGAAAGGCTTCGGGCCAAACAGCTTAGTGATCAGGCTGAAGCCATGAGGCAGAGGAAGCGGGATGCACGTTTACGTCGGGATAAGAGGAAGGAGGATCGCAGGAAATTCATGATTGAACAAGCCACTACGGCTACTGCGGCTGCTATAGCGGCGAAAGCGGCCCCACCAGCTCCAGTCCCGAAGCCTGCTCCAGTCGCGGAAGTAAAACCGAAAGTCGAGGCCAAAGTTAGTGAACCAGTGAAGCCAGTCCAACCGGTAGAGCCTAAAGCTGAGCCGAAGGCCCCCGTACCGAAAGCACCGAAAGAACCCGCCAGTTCAAAAGTAGCACCGCCTCCGAAGATACCGGCCTCTTCTAAGACACCAGCACCACCCCCTAAAGTACCTCCTCCCAGCGCTGCGAAGCCAGGTGCTGCCAAGAAAACTGCTAAGCGCTAATACTGTAACCTGTGCTTCAAAGATCATTCTTTCCGGAAATTTTCGTTGGTTCTTGTTTGCAGTAGCACAAAACCCTGATATGCAACTGCATAAAGCTTCAGAATCCCGTGTAGCATTTGGGTGCCGCGACCGCGAGGGAGTTCAGTTAGGACGCGAACTTGATGACTTGGTGGTCCGTGGTTTGTGATGAGCGCTGGCATCTCGACAGCTCTTGTTTGGGCTTGAGCAACGTGACTACCCCAGACCGCTGAAAGGGTGGTACGACTGCACGAAGACATGCAACGGTGGTTTTCGACCGCCGGTCATTTTGTCAGCATAAACAGACTAACGTTCAATCCTCCAACCAGTCAGCGGTTGTCCAACCCGGATTTCCAATTCGTATAATCATTCAGGATTCGTTTGATTGTTAATGACTTGTAGCATCGTTGTGCTTGTTCCACCAGGTTAATGAAGTGCGCTATCCATTTCAGTCGTGCTGCCATTTATCTCGTACCCACTGGATTGCATCACAAACGTACGAGCATGCCGTCGATGAACTTCTCTGAGATCGTAGAAGTGTGGCGAGGAATTAGGTCGAAACCAGGAGGTTGCAAATCCGCTGCCTTTGGTACAATGTAAGCAGCTTCAAGCGGCCGTAGAATTCAGGCTCCTTCAGCTGCAGAACCCTTTCGGTGCCTAGCTACCGTACCACCCGAAGGAAGCACGAGGTCTGGGACACTGTCAGGTTGCCCAAGCCTAGACAAGGGGAGACGGGAGACAGAGGTCGGGTTCGAACCACGGACCTTCGGGCCAGTAAATTCGCGCTCTAATCACATGAGCCACCACCCAGGCTTATGGGTTCTACTATGACAACCCAGAGGCGACCATGTGCTGTTGCGCTTCTCAAGGACACGTAGACCACACCCGTTTTCCTGCAGGTGCGTAGGCTCTAGTTCCATTTCTTGCGCCTCAGGTGGTGGTGTATCCCAATATTTAACTCACCACTGGTTGGGCATGGGTGTAAATGACGCTTGTGGCCCAGAGCCCCTTCAATGCGTAGCTGCCTAGCTTCCCGAACCAACTGATCATGCCATCGCCTCCGATTCTTGGCTGTATCTCCCACGCTGTCCCATTTTTCAGTGATTAAAACAAGCAGCTTGAACCCCTTGGCACATAGCTAATAACTAGTAACCTGGCTGACCTCTTTCTCTATAGGCGAGATTTCTTAATTTCGTCAGTTGGTTTAACTTCTGGTTGTATCTCCACGCAAACCATCCTGGACACTTCGGGTGCTGTAGGCACAGATTTTCCTCTTTGTACAGTTGACTGGAGGCTGTGATGCATTATCCTTATAGAGTGTCACTGGCTTATGTACTGCCAGTTCTTGTGGGGGTCTTAGAGAATGATCGTGGTAAGTTAGCACCAACTGTCTTCCTGTTTCCTCCTCAGAACCTGTATGCGAAAGTGTGGCACTAATGCTCTCCGTTAGGCAGTGTGTCGTCCAGTTGTGGTACCCTTCCGGTGCAACCCGACGGAAGCATGAAATCCGAGATAGTGCCAGTTTGTTCAATTCTTGGGTTGGTTTCGAAACACGGGCAATGGTATTGGTTTCATACCTTGACCGATGAATCAGTTGCTGTTTGTGCCAATGATGGATCATCCGGGCAGGCGTACTATTATGATGACACAAGGATCATACCGCCACTATGCACGAAATAAACCAGGGGAACTGTAAGTGGGAAGGTCAGATGTAATGGATTTGAACTGCAGCAAGAGCCATTACTCGCCGCTTGGCGTAATGCTTTTTAATTATAATTTAGTTACCCGCGCACCTTTCTCATGGGTCACCTTTGGTCCGTAGGGCCAATTAGCCTTTGCGTTCTTCCAAAAGCCAGTCGCTAAACCTATTTAGAAGAGGAGCGATCACGCAGACCATATGGTTATGAGCATCGGACTGCTCCTAATAGGTCGGTGGCTTCAATAATACTGCTACGCCTAAAGACAACGGATTCGACAGAACCAGGCAGATGTGTCGGCCAGATCTTAGCATAACATCGAGTTCTTGAGCGACACCTAATTACCTACTAGCAGTCGCTGTCTTCGACTACGAGGAAACTTTTCAGTCTTCCGATGGGTGTTTTTTCTCTGTGCACTTGACCATAGCGGAGCCCCATTGGAGTTCGTAGGTGTTTTTGTTCTTTAGATCCTCGCTCTCGATCACCTCGCAGTTACAGTGGGTTAATCATGACTCCCAGCAATTACTGGATTTCACCAGCGTTGCTTTCTCTCAACTCCGCATTAATATCGATATAGCTTTGGTTGAGGCGCCAGCTTACGGAACAGAGGATCCGTGATTTGAACCCAAATTCAGCATCTGTCTAGGCTTGGACAACCTGGCAATGTTCCAGCTCTCGTGCCTCCCGTTGGCCTGGTAGCTGGACATCGAAAGGTTACTACGGCTGAATGATCAACGTCTTCATTGGGTGTATATTCAAAGTACTATGAATGTAGTTATGGAAATATCACCTGGAGGGAGGCTGATGGAGTTGGATTGTACAAAGGCTTTTTCATCTGATGATCATGCGTCCGTACAAGCTGTTTTGAAGAGTCTTGAAACTATCCGCTTGTTGCGCCCTCAGTGTGCGTTCCTGTTTCAGGATTTCCAATCCTCTTTAGACGCGGGACTTGGATTCGTTTATCAGTTTACTTCAACTGGCAACTGAATGGGCTGTGGTTGTAATGTGACAATGCATGTTTCATCAATGGACGAGCAGGAGTAGTCCATTTCCACCAGGCGAATTTGTTTGGAGGTTGTGAGCATCGTCCAAGCAATGACTGTGATGACAATATTGATACCCTGAGTGCTAGTGATGGTGAGTCCCCGGGTTTCTGAAAACGACGTTCGTTTGGCAATGTGCCAAAACATTGGCCTCGTGGGCACGTTCATTATTGCTCACTTGGCCGTCGTTATGTTCTAGTGAGCAGCTCGTCACCACCTGACCAATATTCAGTCGCCTGGACGTTGGGGAAAATAGCAATGTCTCTGTTTCCTATTGTCCTGGGTCGAGATGGCTCAGCGGCTAAAGCGCCAATTTGCTGAACGGAGGGTTTGTGGCTCGAGCTCAACCTCTATCTCGACTGCTCCTCTCTAGGATTGAGCTACCTAGCAGCATCTTAGGGGAGCGGGGGCGAGATGGCCCAAGTGGTTAGAGCGCAATTTACTGATCGGAAGGTCCGTGGTTCGATTCCGACCTCCGCCACTCGACTTCCCCTGTCTAGGCTTGGGCACCCTGGCAGTATCCAAGCCCTCGTGCTTCGTTCGGGTAGCATGGCACCTAGGTACTGAAAGGGTTTTCAGCTGGGTGCTCCCATCATGGTCGTCAACTTCATGAGTACACGCCGTTCCATTGCGCACTGGGTCAGTCAGTCTCTAACAAACCAGCTGTCGGAGACTACTTGTGTGGCTGTTTGTCGGAAGATGTGTGAATAATGGACAACGTGGTTTACGAAGTATACTAAATTTACGGCGATGCAGTCTACAAGGTACAAAGGGCGCTGACTGTGTCTTTTCTATAATACAGACCATTCCATTTGATGCGTGGTGACTAGAAAAGAGCGTTTCTCAGTTGAGGTTTCCGAAAGCCGCGAACAGGTTACCTATAGACTCGACCTAATAGCAAAAATTATCTTTGGGCAAAACGCCGCATCAAGTTTTCATTTTCTTCACTCCTAACTCTTGTTCGTGGCGCGAAGTGACCAGGAAGCTGCCGTAAGCGAACTATCCGGGTCAATCCATAAGTTAATCAGTCTTCTGAAACACCAGAACAACCATACGGGTTAACCAAAATCATCGCTGCTCATTACAGGGCTATGGATGCAGATCTCAACTGATACAAAGACAAAGAGTCTACCTGTGTAAATCTTGGGTTTCATTAGGGTAAACAGCGCCTAAGACTAGGCTTTATTCAAAGATAAGTCTAGCAGTAGTAGCTGAAATATGAAGGGAAATGTGTGCATAGCGAAAAGCGACAATGTCAAATGACGCCAAGCANTCCATCACATCAATTCAGCATGAAGAATTCGCGTAAGGTAGGGCGAAATAGCTGCCAACTAACATTCTCTGGTGTATGGAACAAAGACTCCGTAATTTATAGGAGTTGGCGTGTAAAATGATTAGAATACGATGAATTGATCCTGCTAAATCTTGCTTGCTTCGCCTTTGCGAAGCATGCGAGGACGTTTTTGGTGTAAGACGTTTTCAGTACTTCCCGTGGTAATAGTATTGGAATGTAATGGGGACAGGGCTAGCTTATCGCTGTGGTGTGTTTGGGCATCGGTAGAGTTAGTGAGGGAAAGAAAGTGGACGGGAAAGGGACTTACTGGTAACGTACCACACTCCTCTCGAAGTGTCTAGACCTCCAAAAAACTAATTAGGGCAAGGTTCATAAAAACTGACAGCAAAAACGCTGTTGGCATCGACTAGAAGGCATATGTCGCAGCACAACTGTGCACAGGGAGATCACGCGGTTCCTACCCCGGAGGATGAGTCGCATTGACAGTTCTTAGAATTTTTATAATCCCTTCCATATCCCTCTGTCAGATCAAAGGTTAATCTGATTTACGCGTGGAAGGCACAACTTTTCGGTAGACGATTACTCGGCATTCGTGGTACATGACCAAACCACCGCACCCTTTAGTGTTCGACACATTCTTCCGTTGAAGTCCGCGTTGTACAAACGAGTATTCATTTCCTAACGGTCTCCTTGCTGATTCCCCAGCACCAGCTGACACGAACCATGATTCTGAGACCATTGTTGCCGAAGACTTGAAGGCGCCTCAGTTCGGCTACGTGCAAAGGCCACGTCTCATCCGTCCAACAGAACAACACGTACTGTAGAATGATGCACACGTAACTGGGATTTAAGAATATTCCGCTTTGTTGCTACAGGTGCCTCGAACTAGGAGGCGCGACACGAGCCTTCCAAGATACATAAAAGTACCCACTATGTCAAGTGTTAAGT